GAATCTTTAAAAAGAGAGAATTTTTGCATTCAATTCTAGAAAGAGAAAAAGACTACAAACACAGAATAGTCTAAGCGCTATGATAAGCTGTTAGGAAAAATGTAACTCACCCTATAGAAGCTGGGAAGGTTTCCCAGGGGAACAGGTAGCGTTCTAGTCTTGAAAGTTGAGTATGAGTTATCCAGATGAGTACTTTATGGGTGTTTGTCAGGCAGATGATGGGTACATTCTAAGCAGAAGATACAACAGGTAAGTCTGAACTTTTTCAATAATATCCTAACAATTTTGAAGAACTGCAAATCATTAAGCATGACATAAAAAAAAAATGAGGCAGAAAATACCAGATGAGAGCAAAAAGCAAGCAAGATCCAAGATCATTAAGGTCCTTATTTCCTAGCCTTAATATGATGGTATTTAAACTGAAAGTTTGCAAGAAGCATTGCAGAATAATATCACAGTCTGCTACAGAAAAAGAGAAAGTAGAGAGGAAAAGTAATGGATGTGAAAGCAATTATTTAGAAGATCTACATAAAAGTTCAGACAATACTAATAATCTGAGGCAAAGTAGTAGCTATAGGGAAAAAAGTGGATGAAAGACACAGAACAATACTTAATGAATTAGTTGGAAGAAAGGAGAAACAATAATCAATACAAACACACACACCCATATGAACAGACATATAACGCAGCAGTCAAAGTCCATGGAATCAAACATATCACCTTTCCCAAAATATTAGTATTTTATTTATGGAAAAACATTCAATATATTTTAATTGTCACATACATAAAAGGGTTATTTTGCATTCTGGTTTGTTCTCAAACACATTCACAATATCACAAAGTTCAATCATTTGTTATGTTGATTACTAGAGAAATTTGATATATTTGTTTAGAACTTTCAGTGGTATCACAACTAAATTCATTTGTGGTAAGAATTCTTTTGCTTTAGGAAGTGTAACTAGGGCAGAGACAGTTCTGTTACCCTAGGGCTATAGTAGATGGCCACAAATCATTACTGTAATTAAACTACTTCTACTAATCCCTTTGCTAAGTTACAAGGGGAAAAAATTCACAATCTGATCACAGCAATAGGGAGAGATCTTCATTCTAATTTCACAGAAATCGTTCTCAGTAATGAAAGATAAAAGGTGTCACGTAATGAACGTCTTATTTTGTAGAAGTCTCTGCACTGAATAAAAAAGTCTGAAATAATAGGAAAATGGAGATGTGAATTCCCTACCCATGAAAAAAAAGAAAAAGCATAAAGGCTATAAGCTGTTCTTCCTCGCTTCTAAAGAACCAACAAATCTCATGGGCAATACGGCACCAAAATTGAGCTTGTTTAAAATGGGGTGGGAAGAGGGGATGTGTCTGGTGCAATCTCGGCACCAGAAGGCCATTCACCAGTTCCACCCATTTAATAAATTCACTCTGTTAACACTTCCATCACTCAGCACCCATGTCACAAAAGAATGGAGAAAAATGAAATAATGCGATGGACCTCAAAATAGTTTTGCTGAATCACAAATTATCCAATACTCAGCTACCAGAGTCGCTGGTTTTGAGCCCTGGCGGCCATACCACACAGCAAGAAGCTCTTCCCTGAACGTGCAAATTCCCTTCACCTTTTCATTAAAGGCAAGGAAGGAGCTAATGGTTATGCTTTCAGAGTACTGCTAGTATTGGCGAGCAGAAGCGTGTGTATAATAACAATATACCTCGGTTTTGTACTTAAGAGGATCACGATCTCTCAGATTTTGCATCTCCAATCCCAAGGGCAAAGGCACCACCCTGGCCTGCAACCTCAGCCACAATGGGCACCCTACGCTCTCTTCGTTTTGGTACCCAGTCTCTAACTCCTCGCACTTTGAATCCTTCGCCTCCAGCTTTCGCCCTCCCAGTCTGACTGGGTGAGGTCCCAGAGGTTCCTAGGGTTATGCCGCCCTCGCCGCGCTGCTGCTATCACTAGTCTACCAGCAGTCCACGTTCCCCTCTAGCTTTTCGGTTCTCCACTGTCCAACCCACTCCTCCCTTCTATTCGCGCGCGCCTCGCGGGTCCCAGGCCGGAGCCTCACCGTTTGGTTCGTTCCGGAATGGCCCGGTTCTCCCGCTTCCACTCCCCAACACCAAGCGGCGTCGGTTGGTCCCGCGCCTCACGCTTTCAGTCCACACGCCGCCGCCTACTGATGCCGAAAGCGGCTTCTAGGAACGCGCCATGTTCCGTGTCGCGGCTCCAGACGACACGGACGCGCGAATCTGACGTCACCAACACCCACAGCGCATGTAAAAGGCAAAGGGAGAAGGCGATAGGCAAACCGAGGGAAAAGAGGGGAGGGGTTTTCTTTTCGAAACGGAAGGCGCTGGGCACCTAATTCCGCTGTGTGCGCTTGCGCGTTGTGAGATGCTAAGAGCCTAAACTAGGAGCGATCTGTAACCATGGAAACGCGTAAACCCACTCGCGGGAAAATCAATAGTCTCCTGGTAGACAGAACATTAAAATGGAACCATTTCCCTTCCTACTCTAGACAGTAACTATTAAAATGCATTGTTTTACGTGTTCGCCTCACAGTGAAAAGTTCTTAAAATAATCCTACACCACCTATCGTCAACGTTCCCAAGATTGTTTTATTTTTTAAGATCCTAAACTTGCAGGCAGGTCCTAAACGCAAGAACAGTAGTAAGGGTGGGAAGAGGAAAAAGGAAAACCAGTTCTCCCTGCCTCTGCTACTAGGTAACTAGTGATCCAAGTTTGCTTATCTCTAGAGAGAGAAGTTGTAAGGTGATATGTGCATATCCATAAAGATTAATAATGCATATTTATTGAGCATTTAGAATGTGTGAGATACAGTTTTAAGACCTTACATGAATCATGCATTTTCGTCCTAAACACAAACTACATGGCGCTTTTCTTATGCCCATTTTTACAGTTGAAGAAACTGATGCACATAGAAGTCAAGTAACCTGCTGAAAGCCACGCAACTGGTAAGCGACAGTGTTAGAATTTGAAGTAGATCATCATAACCCTACCTTACAATGCCGGTCATCACAAAACGGGCTGTTTATAAAAGTAAAAATTTGAAAATTACCTAACTGACCACAAAATAGTGGAATGACCAAGTAATGATGTGTCCATATATAATAAAATATAAAAAGGAAATTGTTCATAAAAATTATTCTGATATGCAAATAAAAATCATCATAAAGCACACCTTAAACTTAAACAGTAATGTGTATTAATTACTTCTCAATAAATTGGGGATAAAAGTGTTTTTTTTATTTTGTTGCCATGTCAACACATTTCAATGAATTGGACAAGAGTGAGTTATAGAATTAAGTTCAGTATGGCCCCATTACAAGAAATACATGCCAAAATGTTAACAATTAGTCATTATCTTGAGTGGTATTATGGGTCAGCCTTTTTTGTTTGAGTTTTTTTTTTTATTATTTGCTTGATTGCATCTTCTGATTTTACTGGAAAGAAATGTTTGTCAAATTTTAAGTACATGTAGAATCACATGGAGATTTTCTTAAAAAAAGATTTGATTCAGTTGCTCTAAATTGTTAGGTTCTTTTTAAAAAAGAATTATTTATTTATATAGAGAACTGGGTTAGTCCAGAGGTGTAGAGAGGGGGGATTGCTGGTAGTGAGAGAATTCACCAGAGACAGAGTGAGGAGCAGAATAGGTGGGTCTACTGAAATACACTGCTGAAAGCAGTGGGCCAGTCCGGTGAGGTCTGCTGCACCAGGTGGGTCAGCTCTCTGGCCAGGTATGAAAGTGCTTGCCACAGTGGCTGGCAAAAACTTGATAGAGCTGAGACTTTAACTCCTGCACCATCAGGAAAGCCCTATTTTCAATTTTTTTTAAATAAGTCAAATGAGTTAATACACATAACTGTACTTGGCAAAGTAACCCACAAATAGTGCAATTGTTATTGTTATTGCAAATATCTTTCTCTTGAAAGAAAATTCTCTTTCATGTTTTATCTTTTTTTATTCCTAACATTTGACACAATGCCTAGCACTGTAGAGTCTTCGGAATTGTGGAATAAATTAATGATTAAAGAAATAAAATAGACAGTTAAAGATGTTCTTTGGGTGCCAGTTTTTCCCTGATTTGGAGTTACAGCAAAGAAAGATCAAAGCCCACTATGCACACAATTAATTGCACAAGGAGTAGTCAGTTTTGGTGATAACAGAAAAAAAAAACCTGTTTCTTCAAGGAAAGAGGTTACACACAGAAAAGTTAAAGGTAGCCATTATATTGGCAGGCAGGTTAGACATGTACCACATACTCCTGGAGTTAATAGTCGAATACATTGTCCTATTACAATACATAACTATTTGCCGTTTTGGGGCTTTTGGTCTCTCTCGGTGGGACAAACTGAGGTGAGCAAGTTCCATTTAACACTGAATTCCAATACCTTGACATTTTCACGCAGTGGAACTCAATAAATGTTTAAAAAATGTAAGACGTGGCACAAAAGAAAGCAGCCTTAGTGGAACGGGATTTTTTTCTTTTATTTTCTCAGAGTTCCTTTCCAAAACTCAGGCAGAAAACTCCTTCCCATAAAGGAACAAGTTCTTCATCCCATGATCCTGGTTTACCATCCCAGATATCCTGGGAAACAAGAGCAAGGCACATGGCATGAAGAAACCAGTTTTTGGATTTCAGAGACTCACAGAACTGGCCTAATAAAGCACACAGGACTTGCGCGTTTTATAATTTAGAACCACACAATTAACACAACAGGATCCAGGGATTGAGCTGATATGCTTGCCCTCTATTCCACAGTAAATAACCCCACCTAAAGCGCCGATTTGGTAGCGTTGTCTTCCTGGATCTCTAGTCTCCCGGTAATTTAGGCTTTCCTCCAGCTGGAGACTACAATTCCCAGAGGCCACTGGGGCCAAAGTAAGCCATTTACTTGGGGCGGAGTCTAGAGCTAATTGGGAGAGGGTCATAGCCCCTCCCCTTACGTCAGTCGTGACGCGCATTGCTGGGGCCACTGTCCCCTCGTGGTGTAGTGACTGGTATATCCGCCTTCGCATCTTTCTGACATCCTAGGTCTGTGGGCCCGCAGCCTGCGGAGATGCCGAAGATCAAATTGGGGGCGAGCGGCCTCCGCCGTGAAAGATTGAAACAGCGCGGAGAGTTGAAGAGCGCCGGAGGTGCGCACTGACGGGAGTGGGTTAGGTTTTCTTTGGGGATGCCAGCCTCTAGCTCTGACGGAGATATGGGGCAAAGGGGCAGAGGGCCGGTTATAGCCTGCGTTCCAAGGGCCACCCAGACGTAGCGCCCCGGAGCGCCGGCCACAGGCCCTAGGGGCACGCTGGCCCTGGCCTCCGTTGCAGCAGGTGTGGACTTAAAGCAGATGTGAGTCCGGTTCCAAGCTTAACGTTTGGTGACTCTCGGCGCTGAAATATTCATCTTCCCATTCCGCTTTCTACTCTTGCAACTAACATCTAGTTGTAATTGCAAATTTAAGGCTGTTTCTGTTTTCTTCCAGGACTTATGTTCAACACGGGTATTGGGCAGCACATTTTGAAAAATCCTCTCATTGTAAACAGCATTATCGATAAGGTAAGATAGTTGTGGAAGAGGAAAAGGAGAGAATGTTGGGTTATTGATTTTTTTCTTAGGAATACAGTAGTCTCCACTTTTCTACTGGGGTATATTCCAAGATCCTGTGGATGCCTGAAACAGCCCGATAGTACCAAAACTTATATATATGTAATACATACATACATTCATACTTACATACATATACACACGTAGGAAAGGCTTTAATTGATAAATTAGACACAGTGAGATTAAACATAAAATTTAATTGTAACTATACTGTAATAAAAGTTGCATTAATGTGATCTTTCTCAAAATAGTTTATCGTCCAGTGGTGTTTTGGGACTGAAGATAATTGAAACTTGGGGCGAGGGTCGAGGACTACTGCACTCAGCACAAAGGGGATGCTGGGTACAAAGTACTTGTTGAATTAGTTGAAGAATTACCTAGGATTCGCGGTTGTCTTTGACACATTTACTTCATTTTGTGGGTGTAGGTTTTACCTTGCTTCAAATTCTCATTTTGTTGATTATTTACTTAATAGCAGTATATCTGTACTTGTTAGAGATTTTTCGGTTTCTAAATCACTTTTTCTATGCACCATTTATAACTTAATTTACTTCAAAGCCTAAACCTGTGTCTAAACTACACATTAGGCAGTTTGTTTTCCCAAGAAATGTAAATAATACATATAAACTCTTTGGAGTATTTCTCCTCTGTGGATTATTGATATTGCTCTATTGTTATGGAGAATTGTATGCCAGGGCATGAAATGCAAATAGTGCAGATTATTTTCATGGTTAAAAAAGAGGCATCCTGAAGTATATAGAGAATGTAACATAGTTAAAGGAGCTAGTCTTCATTTAGTGTCATTTACAAAATGAGGGTTGGTTTAACTTATTTAACTTTTTGTTTCTGGGATTCCTTTGAGTAGGTGATAAAAACTACAGACTCAGACTATTACAATGTATGCTTGCAAACACTCAGTTTTGTAAACAATTTCTGGGTACTCCTGCATCCCTGAAACTATACCTGTGTCATGAATTGAGAAATCTTGGTACAATGCAAAATTATATACATTCGATGTGGTTTGAACTTGTTGGTATTAAGATGCTATTGATAGGATTTCTATGGTAGAAAGCAGAAAGAACTGGTACTCCTGCTTTTCTGATCAGAACTATTACCTCAGGTCAGGTGAGATACTAGATTTCCACTTGTATTAGTGAGATCATGCAGGAATGTCTTAAAAATGGTTGCAGAATAAGGTCTCTTAACAGTACTTGTGAGGAAAGTTATTCAGATGTAAATTATGTGTTCAATGTGCCAGAAAAACTAAAATATCTGCTTATTTGTAGGCTGCTTTAAGGCCAACTGATGTGGTGCTGGAAGTTGGACCAGGAACTGGCAATATGACTGTAAAGTTGCTAGAAAAGGCAAAAAAGGTAAAAAGGGGATTTAGTGTTTTGACATCAGAAATGATGGTATGAGCAAACAGCTGATTTACAAATACAAATGTATTTTAATAATAGCTGTTATTTGAACAGTAACTCTTAACTCTTTTCTATCATCTTTATCTTAGAGTATATGGAATATATCAGAAAAACAAACCATGTTAGATATTTTAATACAGGGGCTTTAATAGCATATGGAATTGATTCCATGAGTATTGGAGGAGTAAATTTAACATGGGAGTACTGAAGTAGCCAATAAATAACAATTGAAAAGAGCAGTTACAAACTCTTTTCTCAAGGAAAAAAGAAAAGAGGCTGAAGTTACTAAAACTTAGAAATTTGGAGAAAGAGCTTCGAAGAACTTGAGCTTAGGCCTCTAAGAATTGGGTGCCCTCTGGCCACTGCTGATCCTTTATTTTTCTCTTTACTAACCCAGTTTCCAATTAAATGAAACCATATTTGTGTCACTAGTGGAAGTAGATAGCACATTTTAAAGAAGTATATGAAAAGAATTTAATGATACTACTTTCAGAAGTGTGGGAATGGAGTTAAAGGAACCATTAAGCCTTAGTGAAGCACCCAGGATCTAGCAATAGCAGGAAGCAATTAGCATCCAAAAAGCCTCAAGGGCAAAGTAGGAGAATTGCATTACCACCAGAGTCCACAACATAGTATCCATTGAACAGGAGCCCCACATTCAGAACAGTCATCCCCAGAACTTCTGCCAGGCATGTGGTGGTCAGGCCACTTCTCCTTTTTAGTCTAGAATGCTGGTTAGCCAGTCCCAACCAGAAGTAAAAGAGCAAGGAAACTGGACTCTTCTCACCCTCCACAGCTAAAAGAATAGATTTGGGAGCTAGACAGTATAAGCAGCACATGTGGACATGGTCTTCCTGGAAGTCAGTAAAACCTCAGCTGATGTTGAATTCAAATAATGATTTCAATCTTATCTGGTATCCCTATTCTCTTACTTGAGAAGTTATACTATATTCTGGGTCTTAGTAAATGGAATAATACAGATCTAGAAATTGTTGCTTTATTTGCTTCTAAGAACATTAACTATACAGACACATTATACTTATTTTATCTTCTCTAGGGTTAGAAGGTAGGGAGCCAGTGAGTATGGCAATTCTGTCAGTTATTTAGATATTTAGATAGAAGACTCATTGTCTGATTGCCTACTTTTCTGTTTGGTGTTTTTTGCTTGAACTGGTAGAATATAATTGAAGGAATATTAATGATAGAATTGGGGAAGGAAATTTCATTCACATAAACCATGTAAGAATTACCATTGAGATAAAGAGATTAAATACTCTATAATTACCCTAAAAAAAGCTTTTTTAAAAAAAACTAGGTAATTGCCTGTGAACTTGACCCAAGACTTGTAGCTGAACTTCACAAAAGAGTTCAGGGCACGTGAGTATAACAATAGAATTAAAGTTCATTTCAATCTCATAAAAAAGTATTCTTTTTTAATTACTTTCTCTCCCCCCCATTTATCAGGCCGCTGGCAAGTAAACTTCAAGTAATGGTGGGTGATGTGTTGAAAACAGATTTGCCATTCTTTGATGCTTGTGTGGCAAATTTGCCCTATCAGGTATGTTTCCAAATTGTTGGGAACATTATACTAAATGTTTCTCTGTCTTTCCCACAAGTAACTAATTAATTCATTTTCTTACAGATCTCTTCTCCTTTTGTCTTCAAGTTGTTGCTACATCGACCTTTTTTCAGGTTTGTGACAAAAGACCATAGTTACTCCCAAACTGTAGAAAAATAGACAATATATTCTGCAGGCACACACAGCTGAAGAGGAAATAATTCAGATGAAAAACTACTAGAGCATTGTTTTTGTAGAAAATACTGGTTTGTGTGACAATCTTTATTTTTAAGTTGACAAAGTTATTTGGGGGAAATAGTGTGTATAGCTACTTCTGAAATCACACAGCTTTTCCCTATTTTCTAATCTTTTTATCCATAGCCTTTGTCAGACTTTACTGTCTATGACTTAAGACTATTGCAGTGACCTACTAATGATCTCTAGTGCATTCTATGACTTTTTTTTTAAACTGCAAGTAAATAAAATTCAGTGAGTCAGTACCATTTTTTTTTTAGTGATGTCAGTGATATTGAAGAGCATTCATTTCAAGTGTTCCAAGTTATTGTCGTATGCGACTTTTGCTTATATTATATAAACACATATATAAGTGTTTGTGAGATGTTTGTAACCTGGCTTGCAATGCCAAGTACGTTCCTTAGTGTGACTCATAGCAAAAAAAAAAAGTTTGTAAGCCAAAGCACACCTTTGAAGTTGTTCTCCTGTTAAAGAGACCCCAAAAGCTTCCCCATTGCTTGCTGAATAAAAATAACTTTCAAATCAAAGGCACAGAGTTTTAGAATCTATCTCTGCTGTCTCAGCTCTTCCATAAGGGTGTTCATTATCCTATGAATTCAATTTGACTGCTGGGCCAATTTTGTGTTTGTCTTATTCTTCTGGATGGGGTAGATAGGCAAATGTTGATCTGAAATAATTTCTCATCTTATCATTGAGGGATTGTATTCCAACCAGTGTTCTTAAAGGTGCAGCCATTATAAATAAAAACAAAGATAACTGGATCATTTTCTGTTAATAAAGTTAAGACTGTAAGTTTCCTACCTCTAACAGGCTGAACTAATTCTCATTAACCAGATGCTTCTTTATTTCGCATCCAAGAAAGTTAATTGAAGCTAAAATAATTTTATAGTTGAAAATAACCATTGGTTTACTCCTTTTTTGGTGATCTTTTTAGATGCGCTATACTTATGTTCCAAAGGGAATTTGCTCTCCGACTGGTTGCAAAACCTGGAGATAAATTATACTGCAGACTCTCAATTAATACACAGCTGTTAGCACGTGTGGACCATCTAATGAAAGTAAGCATGGTTGAAACAACGTGCCATACTCTTATCTAGCTATGCTTTCTCTTAAGAGCATATCTGATTATTAAGGTTTTTTTGAGAGGGCTATCTAAACATTTTCTGATTAACAGGTTGGGAAGAATAACTTCAGACCGCCACCGAAGGTAGAATCCAGTGTTGTGAGAATAGAACCTAAGAATCCACCACCACCTATCAATTTTCGGGTGAGATTAAAATACTAGGTCATTCAATAAAGGAGGGTTGGAGGGGGAGACCAAACCAGAAGCAACAGAGGGGTGTGGTATGTGTCTCTCTTGCTTACTTTAGCAGGAAAAAAATACCAAGTCAACCTGAATGTCCCAATAGGGACATACCTGTTATGGATTAGATGGAATAATTTGACATTAGGTAGTTGCAAGGACAAAAATAAGAGCATGGAATATATTTGCAAATGGCAAAAAGATTCAAATGCCATTGCATTCTGCTAACAATTATAGGTATGGAGATGTATCATATGAACTTGAATAAGACTTGAAAAAGAGCAAATGAAAGTAATTGTTGGAGTAATATTATAGACAACACTTTAATCAAAATTGTTTTTGCAACTTAGATCACTTGATGTAAAACCTTAGTGCATCACTTTGTTTTTTAAAACATGATCTCTTGTGTGGTCAGTAACTGGTGATTATTGGAAGTGAGGAAGTGTAACCCAGATTATACTTATATTAATGAAATGCCATGTTCTTTGTTCAGATATATCAATTAGGTATTTTTTTCTGATATTTGTAAAGATTAATTTACTTATCATACAAGAACTAGGGCACAGGCCAGAGGTGCAGGGGGTGAGAGGAGTTATCAGAGACAAAGTAGGGAGCAGAACAGGCAGATTGACTGAAATACACTGTAAGGGGAGAAATGGGGGAGACAGGAGGGGTCTGCTGTGCCATCTGGGTTAGTCCTTGGCCAGGGATTGAGCTCATGCTGCAGTTAGCTTGATAGTGCTGTCTTTAACCCCTGCACCACCAAAGAGATTCTTTTTCTGATTTTTTTAAATTGGGCATAAAATACTGTGAGGTACACATGAAGAAAGTGCATATATTACTTTTATCTCTATCAGCCAGAATAATATATAGAATATTTTTGTCACTTTAGAAGGTTCCTTACAGGTTTTTATGTTAAAATACAAAATAATACTTATCAAACGTGGACAAGAATTTTGATATAAGAAAATATCTCTTCTGTTTTAGGAATGGGATGGCCTAGTAAGGATCACCTTTGTTAGGAAAAACAAGACACTGTCTGCAGCATTTAAGTAAGTATTTTACTAATTTTACAATCTTAAGGAGGACCAATGCTACAAATACTGTGTTAAGTGCTAGAATTTGTCTTTTTCCTGAACAGATACCCTAAAGGATAAAGACTATCCATTTCCAACTACACTTTACTTTTTTTTTTTTTTAAGATTTATTTATTTATTTGTACAGAACTGGGGTACAGGCCAGAGATGCAGAGGGTGAGAGGATTCA